AATGAGCGCCTCCTACTGTGGGCCTGGGCCTACCGCAGAGGCTGCTGTCAGGGGCTACCCACCTCCCACTAGACCCTGGCAGCCCTTGGCCAGATGCCTGGGGAATACATGGTCCAGGGGGATTGTTTTCCTCCTGGGTACACTCACAGACTCTTCCCTGGGCCTGTGAGCTAATCAGAGAGAAGGAGGGGGAGGAGGGGGACGCTGCTTGCCTTCCCCGTTATCTGCAGCAATCCACGGTGACTAATGCTCCCAGTTGGTAAAAAGGCAGTGTAATCAAAACATTTTTTTTTAGTCCTTAAAGTTAGTCATTCTCCCAGAGTGGAGAAAAAAAAAAAAAAAAAAAAGCCCACAGCAGGCACCATGAAATGCAAGCTGAGAGGCTCCCGCTGCTGGGTGGGCCCAAAGCACTGGCAGAGGCAGCTCCCCAGGGGTCTGAGGTCCCACCCTCTTCTCTGGCAGTAGGGGAAAGCTGGCCATCCTGCCTCCTCCACACCCTCGATTGTTCTTGCTTTCCTTGACTGTGGACTGTCTGAACCCTAAAGGATTCTTTGCCAGGTCAAGAGCTGCCCTTTGCACTCCCCCTGCCAGGTGCTGCCACCTGCTGGTCCCAGCTTTCCAAGGGGAAAAAGCATAGACAGTCAAAGCTCCCAGGATAAGGCCCAGTATGGCTTCCTTGCTAGGTGCCTCGCCTGTGCCGGCCCTCCTTCCATTGTCATCCCACCTCAGGACTGGTGCTGCTTCTTGTCCCATTGGTTCACTGGTTTGTGACCCCACTGTGCCTTAACAGAACCGTAGATTGTCGGGGGTGGCAGGAGGCTCAAGAGTCACAGAAGAGAAGTGGTATTCCTCAGTGGTCTAAAGCACAAGACTCAGCTGAGATTCACTTTTCTCAGGGTAGAACCTCTCTGCTTCAGCATTCCATGGTTGTGCTTCGGCCTACATATCCATAAAATAGTAACGGTTCCTACCTCATAGAGTTGTTGTGAGGATTAAATGTGAGCTACTTAGAGTAGCATCCAGCATGCCAAGTGTGTTTATTAATTCACAACCAGAATAACGACCAAACAATAAAGTAGCATACAGATCATCACATTCCCATTACTTGTCCAAGGCAGACATTACTAATCAATTACATTACTAATCAATTACAGTTGGTAAAAAGGCAGTGTAATCAAAACATTTTGATTAGATTCTTTACAATACTTAACACAGCACTCTAAGCAGTCAGTAATGAAGAATCTGAGTTGGCATATTGGATGATACCCATTTGCCATGGCAAATATAACCTGGACCCTTCACACTGCGGTCAAGGGAGATAGAACCCAGAGAAGGAAATAGACTCCCTCAAGATGCTTTAGGGCAAAAACCATGATCCACAAAGGCATTCCTGACTTCTACTGCTGTTTGTCAACCTGTCTTCACACTGACCTTTGAGTAATCTATGTGGGCTTCCAAGGACTAGAAATGTTCACCCCAACCAATAGCCCCATCTTCTGCCAACTTTGCTCTTCTTCTCATATCCTTGGCCACTGGCTGTGCAGAGAACTCTGGTTGAGGGGCATCTTGTTGAGCAGGTGCACAGAAGGGAGAAGTGGGGCAGGGAATCCACGGAGAAACCCAAGGATCCGGGTCCTAATCTGCTGCAGGAGCCTCCCTGAGGCCCCAAGGCCTTAAGAGCTACGAGGAGCTCAGGCCATCAATTTGACTCCATAACAGTCAGCCCCTCAGCTGTAGTGTGATTCTTTAATGAAGCCCCTGATGACGCAGATTCTGGGAATCCTTGTTCTTTGCCAATTAAAGGCTGGCATGATGAAAGTCAGGGGCCAGCCCTTGACTTCAGGGCAGAAAAGGCTGAGAGGGAACCGGATATGACAAGCCCTCAGACAAGAGCCCATGTAGAGCACCCACATGCAAATTTTTCCATTAAAAAAAAAGAGTGGTCAGAGACTGATGCTGGAGCCAGATCTCTCATGGCTTTGTTCCTGGTGTAGACTTTTGCCATCTGAACACTCTTCAGGCTCAGACTTCTGTGAGGAAGCAGAACTGACAAACCTTGAAACCAGAACCATAGCTTCTACCCCAAAGGTCTGCACTCTGGGCCATGGTGTTGAAATCCACTTTGCTCCTTTTCTATTTCTTCCCTGCAGGGGCAGGATCTGCCTGTACTCTTCTGTCCTTTGGTTATAAAAAGGAAAGACATAGCACCTGGAGGTATGTGTACATCCCTATGTTCAGCCTCCCAGGGATCAATGCTGCACAGCATGGCAGGGTCATGGAAGGGAGCTGATGGATGCACAGAACAACAGGGCACTTGACTGTCCATCCTCAGCCCAGTGCCACTCCAGCTGAGCACGGTAAAGTCACAGAGAGAAACTCATGGGTACAGAAGACAGAATGTATGACTGTCCACTCTGGCTGAGTAAGTATAGGGAGGCCAAGCTCAATTCAGAGTAGGCACTTTGTAAATAGACCCTGGAGATCAGCATTCTTCCCACTAACTTCAAAAGTCTCGCTACGTTAAAGGTCTGAGGCAGACAGTAAATATCATGGCTCTAGTCAAGCCTTAGGCTAAATGTTCCCCTCACAGAAGATTTGTATTTAGCTTCATCCCTAGACATACATCATTGATTGCTCAAAACTGCTCACTCCTGTGGGCCTGATTCTCTGTTTATGACCTACCTCACCTGCCTCCTCTCTTCTGGTATTTCCCAAGTTTGTCAAAGCAACATGGCAATGGACTTGGCCTTGAATGTGAGAGACTTTGGCAATATTATCTATCCACTCATCTTATTGATGAAGGGACCTACCTCTGGAAAGGAGATGTGACTTGTCTGAGGCCAAGGTGTTGAAGATGGAACCAGAACTCAGGACTCCTCCAGATTCTTAATCCAGAACTCACCCATTCCCATCCTACAGCATGTGTCTGATACTCCTGACACAGCCCTAACACAGATTTCCCTGACTAATACTTTTGGAGACATTTATCACTGTGTTCAATACCTGAGGGAAGCAGAGTATAGGCAACAGAGCAAGCAGGTAGAAGAGCCGTTGATAGCACCCCTTCTACCCATCATCATGCCCACTGAAAAGCAACAAGAACTGCCCTCCCTTTGCTCACATTTCTGCCCTTGTTGCCCTTTGGTGACTTCTCCTTTTCTCTTTAGGGGATGCCCTTGTACTCGTGCTGACCTGATTCCCGAAGAATAGCATTTCAATGAAGCTGATCTGTGATGTTCTTTGTAACCCACTCCCATTGGAAACCCCTTTTGGGTCAAACTATGAAACCTTGAGAGTGGAAACAGAAAATGTAAATGAGAGAATACTTCCTGTGGGTCACACTCTGAACTCCCTACTCCTCTTGGTTGAATGCTTGGCTCTACCTAGGAGGTCAGAGCAAACCATACGTATCTTCTGCTCTAGGCCATTGGCTTAGCTGCTCCCTGGACAACATCTGAAACTCTTGAAGTTTACTTGAAGGAGAATTCCTAGAAAGTTTTGGGAGACCCAGCGTGAACTTTGCTCTCTTTTTCTATTTTCTGAGTTATGGGGCTACTTGGGTTGAGGAGAGCATCTCAGCCCAGAAACAACTGCTTGTGAAGAACTAAGACACTGCATGTAACCTTATTTTAGGATTTTTTCCCCATAATTTTATTGAGAAACAAACAGCAATGAGACAGTTTCAAACCAAATTGGTAGGACAGTTTCAATAATTAACATATTGCATACATTCTTCCTAGTGGTTAATTGCTATACAAGATGTGGACATGATATCCTATTTATAAACACTATTAGAACAAATCCCTCTATTCATTAAGAGACTGTAACTATATATCTATCCTAACCACTTTGAATACACAGATACAAAATGGACATTCATCTGTATCCCCCCCTTTTTTGTTAAGTTCTGTTATTTGAATATTATAGGTGTGTTAATTATTTTAGGATTTCTAAGGTAGCTCAGCTGCTTGCCTACAACCTCATTCCTCCTCTCAGTCTAGATTAAGTTCTCTGCCATCCTCATCTCAGACTCACCTGTCCACTCCAGATTCCACCTTTGCTCCTCCCAGAAGCTATCACTAAAGCCCAACATTCAGCTTAGGATGCCCCTGCACTCCCTACAGGCTGGCCCTGTACCTTGTCCTTTCTGATTTTTTTTAAAACAAGGTACACTTTCACAATGCTTCACAGTTTATTATTATATTATTATTATCATATTATTATTATTATATTTTTGTGGTACTGGGGATTGAACTCAGGCCCTTGCGCTTGCCAGGCAAGCGCTTATTCTACTGAGCTATCTCCCTAGCCCCTCCAATTCTGTATTATTATTATAGTCACCCATTCACCTGTCCTTGCAGGAAGGTAGCACTGGGAGGGTGCAAAGACAGAATACTTCTTTTGTATGGTTGTATCCTCAAGGTTAGCATAGTGCCTGGCACATTGTAGGAGCTTAACATTTGCGAAATGAAGGGACAGAAAGAGCAGGACTATTCGTTATTGCTGTCTATAGAGGAGGCTACAGAGCTTAGGGCTAGGAAGTTAAAGCCACAAAACATTCCAGCCTGAAAAACAGTAAATGTACTTGAGCCCTGAACCATCTTGACGGAGGGAAAGACCCATTTGTTGGTTGCTACAGGTAATGCACGTGCAGCAATGCAATATTTAGGAGACACAATGAGTATGTGGCGAGTGAGTCTTTCTCACACCGTTTCTCCTCCAATTGCTCCTTCATCCACAACTCCTGAGCCTCTTTGGGTTAAACCTCCGGACTCAAGTGATAAGCCCGCTAAGAGCCCTCTGTCGGGTAAAAAGGAACTCTGAGTCAGCGTTAAAGTCTGAACCCCACTCCTACTCCCAGGTCCTCCTCCCTCGGGTGCAGGCTGAGCCTCAAAGCCCAAAGCCAGGACTTGAGAGTCGCCAAGGAAACTCCACCCGCAAAGGGTTAAGGCGCCGAGCCCCGCCCTCTCGCCCGCCTCTTCCGCTCAGAGGAGCAGGGTTTACGTCACTTCCTGGAGACTGGCTGAATCCGGAAGTGATCCTTGAAGACTGTAGTGCGGCTGAGGACCCCGGCATCGGCCCAGGTTCAGGACCATGAGTTGGTGAGTGAGGCCAGGCGGCAGGAGGCGGTGGATCCCCAGGCCCGCCGGCGCCCGGCCCTGCGTCAGGTCGGAATCCCGGCGCCTGCCCTTCCTTCACCGACCCCGGCTCGGCTCCAGTGTTCTTCAGGGGGGCTTCCTCTGTGCCTTCTCCGAGTCGCCATCTCTCGGCCAGACTCCCGGGGACAGGCGAGAAGATCCCCTTAGCCGGACCCCGAATCTGACAAGGTTTCCTGGTTCTTATTTCCAAGAAGCGGGACACCCCAGTTCCTGAAAGTGAAAGACTTCCCTGTTCCCTTCTCTTTTTAAAATATCCATTGGGATGGAATCAGTGTCTTCCTTCCTCGTTATGGGAACCGCGCGGGTTTGCCCTCGAGCTCTGACCCTCACTTTGGTAGTCAGCGCCCAGTTTAGTAATCAGAAGCCACGCACTTCTAGATAATTGGCCTTTGTTCAAAAGGCAGAGAAAATTTGCCTCTCTTTTAGAAGGGGCCGGAATTACACCCAGCCCCACTCTTTTAATGTGGAATTTAGTGATTTCCAGCATCATGACCCTACTACTCTCCCTCTAAAATAGACACGGCTAAGCTTAAGCTTTATGAGAACTATTACACCATGAGAAAAGCCAAGGACCTCAGAGTAGTACAGTCACAGATCCAAGTGCTGCAAAGCTGTGTGATACTCAGAGTATCATAGACACTTCATAATATTTAACAGTTGATTTGCTTTGTAAGACTGCTTGCCCAGTAGCCAATCCCTATTCATTGCTTTGAATTGTTTATGTTCACAGGAAAGAACCGTGCAAGAGTCTGTGTATCTACAAGCCCTCATCTTACATGATGCACCTATAATCCAATTGTATGAGTAAATTGAACCCGAGATGTAGAAGATAAATTGACCCTTTTAGAACTCAAGTTTTGTTAATGTTGGGAACATGTTTGTCACTCTTGTCCTCAGAGTCTAGCTTGTTTATAGGATAGCTGCACAGTTATGAATGAATGAAAGTAGAAAAATATCCTTCAGCAAGGCTTTTGCAGGCTAACGTGACCATCAGTGGAGACTAAGCCCTAGCCAGTAAAGGGGATGTCAGTCAGTGTCAAGGATGGTTCTCTAATGTAAGATGTAAACCATGTCTGTCCCTTTCCCACCTGCTTCTTGGTTGTTGGACAAATGTCAGTCAGTGCAGCAGCTGGAGGGAAGCCTGGGGCAATACCCTAATAAGCCGCAGCAGGAGCTGGTCCTTTTCCCTCCACTGTGTGCTCTAGGAGGCCAACAGAGGACTAAAAGTCTAAAAAGCTAACTTTCTCATCTTGTTATTGTTTGCTAGTGATGAGCAAAGTGGCAGTTCTTCAATTCCTTTTCCAAGGGGAAATTTCTTCCTTGAAGTGGCAGTCTTGTTCCCCTGGCTGTGATGTGGTGGTGTTGTCCTCTTGTCTGCTCCACCTTGAATCTTTAGAATTCACTTGCCTAATTTTTTGAAGCAAAAAGCAGAAAGTACAGGTGCTTTGTATTTTTAGATTGGCATTTATAGTTTTAAAAACTGAGTCTTTTCACTAATTGGGAGAAAAATAGGTCAGAGGCCACTGATAGGAAATGATTTTCTGGATGATCTGAGGCAAGTTGTTTCCCCTGGTCTTGTAGAAAGTTTATTTCCTGAAAAAATAGCAGTCCTTTTGCTGAAGTCCATAAGGGTGGAGAGAATTGAAATTGGCAACTGTCTAGGAGCTGAGATTTTGTGAAATAGAATTGATTTACCAGTACATGCCCATCTTGGTACCTCCTTACACTGAGGGTCACAATCAAAAGGGTGGCTTTGTCCCTCAAGGCTGAGATTCCTTTCTCTTTCTCCTTAAAGGCTGTCTACGTCATTTCTTGCGTGGACCTTGACCCTCTCTCCCTAAGAGGGGACCAGCATCGGCGCCTGGGCGCACAATCACACTCAGTTCCTAGCTCAATGGCTGGCAAGAAGACCAGGGCTGGGGCCTTCTGATTCACTCCCAGAGTGGTTTTCCTGCTCCTAGAATGAATCCATCCATTCATCTGAGACTGGAATTCTGAGTAGGGAAGAGACTAGAGTGACGTAGAGCCATCCTGGGAGGCTGATGCCCAAGGTCAAGTTCGCCAAGTACATAGGCTTTGCCAGCCATCATTAAATAAGGCCTAGGGGCACATGGCCCATGGTCCCCAAAGGGTAGCCATTGTTCTGGGCTAGGCTGGGCTTTCAAAATGTCACAGTAAGAAATGTCCAGTGTTGATGCCCTTTGCACACTGTGGACTTTGCATTAAGAGCGAGAGGCCTTTGTTTCTCTGCTTCCTCTGTGGAGGCAGCCCGCCCACTCCGTTTATTTAGTGAGTATCTGCTGCCTTCCTGTACTATCCACACATCCATGCATGTGGCATTCAGCAAGGCAACCCAGTGAAGAAAGCATTTGATGTTCACATTTCAGATCCCTGGTTGACCTCATGGCTGTAATACCAATGCTCTCTCCTTCATTCCCTCCCTCTTGTCCTGCTTTGTCCCCTATCCCTCTCTCTTCCTGTTTATGTGTGTCTTTATTATGGTATGGAGAAAGAATTAAGAATAGTGAATTTAGCTCTCTGGAATAATTGTAGCTTTCTCTGGAGCCACACACCTTGATGATCTTTGGCCCAGATGATAAAATGATGTACTGGAGAAACTCTTCCTATATCCAGGGCTCTAGAAGTTTGAGAAAGAAGAGGCAGTGAAGAAAAATTTTAGTAGGGGGTAGAGTGCTGTGTTCAAATTCTGGTTCAAATGCCTATGGTATAGCCAATCTTTCCTTGTCTTTTTTTTTCAGTCTGTAACAGAATAAATAATCCCAGTGGACATTCTGCTGCCTGAGTCTGCTGTGAAATGAATGGAGACTATCTGTGATATGATTTTTTTTTTTTTAACTTTCTAGGCTTTTGTTTGCACCAAAATATTAGTGTTCTTCGGGCTCAATGTGTAGCTCCCAGTTAAATACGTAGTTCTGAGGGGAAACAGCCAGTGCTCTTTATGGTCCTGTGCTGCTAAGCAAGGGTGTTCAGTAGATTAGGTTATTAAATGGTTTTTCCACTCAGATCTTTTAACTTCCAATGGTTCATCAAGGTACAGTCGCATCTTAAGTTCAAGGACATCTCTAGTGTGCTGCACTTACATAGTGTTCAAGAAATATTTGTTGATATGCCTATTAAACATTTAGAACATACAGATGTCTGCTAGATGTTGTGGGAATATGAAAGACTGCAAGAGTGAACCCCTATCTTCAGCCATGACAGTAGGACAGCTGGTCACTAAGTGTCAGCATCGCCTCATCAAGACAGACTTCCAAGTGGGAGATGTACTTTTAACTGAACTTTGACTTAGCAAGTTGGTACTGTTTCTCTGGGACATGAGAGAGGGATCTGTGTTAGAATAGTGTGCCAAAGGGGCCAGGGAGATGGCTCAGTGGAATAAGCGCTTCCAAAGGGCCTGAGTTCAATCCCTGGTTCCACCAAAAAAAAAAAAAAATAATAATAATAATAATAATAATAATAATAATAATGTGCCAAGGCGAGATGGAATGCAGGGAGAGTATTTGATGCACTGGGTCAGGAGGCCAGTTTGGATGCAATAAATAGGGGCTGGGCTGTGTCTGGTGGTGAAGATTGGCACCCCAGCTTGGGGCGACATTGTGTAGTGCTCTCAGTGCCATGCTGAGGAGATGAAATTGAGCCTGGCCTTTTGAAAATAGAAGTGAGATAGTTCTAATCTTCCACTAGCTGGGAAGTGGCATGGCAAAAGCAATGATTTAGTCCAGTTGTTTTGGCAATGGCCTGCAGGATTGCACAGAAGAGGGAAAGAATGAAGTCAGGGAAGCCAACTTGAATGCTAGCTTCCAGGAAGTTTCAAGCCCAACTTACAGTGAAAATATGTTTGACATTGCAACACATAAACACACACACACACACACACACACTTTCATATATAGTATATGTACAGCGTACTTCAGTGTTTTCTAGAATGTTCTTTTTCATATTTCAAAGAATGGTTCATCTCAATCGATTTATGTTTTGATATATATCTATAATGGAACAATGTGTGGCAGTTTAACTGATGTATGTGCCCTAGGTTGAATCCCACATACCACAAATAACATTGTTAAAGTACATATGGATGAATTCATGGTTACTGTGCATGGAGTCCGGTTTGAAACCAGCTATCTAGGAATGTAATTGCGAATGTTCAAACTAGAAGCTTTTGATCCCAGCCAGCTAAAGATAGGGTTGTTTTTGCTGGGTTATAATAAGAAATACAGAGGGGCAGCTGTCCCTGGGGCACTTGTCCATCACTTTCCGGAAACGAAAGCCCAAGTGGACAAAACAGTACAAAGATACACAGTCTAATAGTAATCAGCGGAAAGCAGATTAAACCAACAGTGAGATGCCATTTCACAAGCAGACTGAACAAGTGTTAAAAGTCCCATGGTGCCAAGTATCTGAGGGTGAGGAGCAGTGGGGATGCACACGCTGTCAGGTAGGAAGGGGATGAGTTGGAGGTTCTGCAGTGCCAAAAAACTCCTGTATGGTACAGCAGGAGACCCATGCAGGAAGCCAGCAGGGTCGTGGTGGTTACCCCAACCAGAGTGTGAGAAGACCACTTGTCATATCTTTCCACAATGAAATATCAAGAGTAGCTAAAAGGAATGTGGGAGAGCTATGTGTATCAACATAGTTGAATCTCAGAAACATACAGAATGCAAAATGTTAGTTTCAGGTTGATGTATTCCACATGGTGCTATTTGTGTATTGGCTGAACTATAAAACAGTATTACATCTTGCTTATAGATGTAAACTTGTGTAGAGAAAGTACAGGAATAGTAAGTACTAAATCAGAATAATGGCTACCCTAGAGTAACACAGAAAGAGGAGGAAGTGTGAACATCTTCCTCCAGAGCTTCATTGGACAGCAGCCTTTCAAGGAGTGAGGTCTGCATATGAGGCTTCTACCAAGTATGCAC